TGTGTATAATGTCTAATAGAAGGCAAATACTGTGTAAGTAGTTGTTATACTGTATTTAAGGAATGATGCCATGAAAAGTCTATCCATATTCAGTACAGATGCAGTTTTCCCTATCTGTGGTTGGTTGAGTCTGTGAATGCGAAACTTGTAGTACAGAGGCCGGCTGTACTTACTAACTCAGCACTCTTGACAGGGTCTAAAAGTTGTTACGCATAACGTGCCTAGAACAGGGTTTAGGGCATAGGAAGCTCTGACCATGTTTTGATAGCATAGGACTAAATAAAAGAGTTCCTTGGGAATTATGTCGGAGGAGGTTAAAATTAAGTTGGCAAGCACTGCTGGTTGAAATGTGATGTGACATGCACTAGTGGCTGAAAGAAATGAATTTGACAGTAAGCTGGGGCACAAACTGCCCTCCATGATGACAGTCGTTACATCAGATGAGTAGCACCTGAAGCCTTGCTGGTCTCAGGCACGAGTTTCATCTCATCCATTTCAGCACGCGTGTACGTCTCTCCTCTCGGCCACTGACTTTCTGTCTCTATGCACTGAAGCACAAATGCTACATTCACGGAGTCTCAACAGTCCCCCACCCCCTCCAGATTGACTGTTAATTGCCTTTATGTGACTTTCAGCATGACTTTTATTCTCCCCTAGGACTGTTTTGATTTGTTTTGCCCTGTGAGTAAAATTTTTTTCTCCAACTTGCTCTGAGCCAAGAACCTAGGGGGAGAAGGGTCCTCTTACTTTTTTAGAGGGGGAAAGCAAACTTTTGCGCGACTCTTTTCTGGATTGCCTAGAACTGCTTTCTGATTCCTTCAATTTGCTCTTCACTCTCAGATGCCTGAGAAAATTGAGATTGGCTGGAACAAGAAGATGCTGAAAACTGCTGGATTATGCAGCAGTGGTGAGCTACAGTCCCCAGAGAAGCAACGCTTTGCTAAGATTGAGATTTCTCTGAAAGTCTGCGACTCTGCAGGTGATTGCAATGGTGTGACAGTCCTGCCTGGTGTTGTTTTCTTTTGAAACTTTGCCCGTTAACTTCTCCGTAATGGTAGCCTGTGTTACAGCTAGAACTGTCACTTCTGATGGAGGGGGGATGTTGCTTAGACATAAGATTATTGGATGTCTCAGCATTGTTGTGAATTCAAGTTACGGATTTTTTTTTTTTTTATACAAAGCTTACTTTGCTCTCTGCATTTTCCCCTTGCCAGCAGCAAAATCTTCATTATCTTAGTAGCCAAGATTCAAGGTTACCTATATGTAGTCAACTCTCCATTCACAGTGACACTCCTGTCATTCCTTCTCCACTTCTCCCTCTCTGCCTGGATATTGGACTTCATCATCTCACCCATCTTCCTGTTCCATTTAGTCTCCTGCAGGCCACTGCATTGCTGTCCTCTTGAGAAACTGAGGATTTTTCAAAGCCGAAAGCCTGACTTTCAAGCGCCACTGTGATTGTTCCCTGAACTCTGCATCTCTCACTGTCCCACTACCAAGCTGTGCTTGAGCAAGGTGCTCTTTTGCTTCCTTTTGCTCACATTTTCCTTCACCCCCAGAGTGGTCTTTCTCAAACTGTGAATCCGGTCACTGTTCAGGGTCCAGCTCAGATCCCATTCTCCTAGAGTTTTTCCTGTCTGCTCCTGCTTCTGGAGGACAGAAGGTGGACCTCGCCCAGAGTATTTCTAGTAGTACCCTGTAAAAAGATGAGCACGTGGGAGGTGCTCTATAAAGCTGCTCACGTTGGGGCCCTGTGCCTTGAGCAAAACTAAGTTGGAGTGAGTGGAAGTTTCACTTTCAGAATCCTGGGAAGGTAGGAGCCTGCCTGTCTATGCTTCTGTAAGGCAGCTCTGTGACCAGCATGTGTGTGTGTGTAAGGGTGTGTGTAAGGGTGTGTGTAAGGGTGGCGGGGGTTGAAAGTTGAAGGGTTGTTGGATAGCAGACCAGAAGAGAATCATTTTTTTTCCTACTCTTGATTTCTTTTCATTTCTCTTCCAAGACCGACTCCGTGATACTTTGATCCATGAACTATGCCATGCAGCCTCCTGGCTGCTTGATGGTGTCCGCGATTCTCATGGTGACATGTGGCAGAATTATGCCAGAAAATGCAATATGATACACCCAGAGCTGCCTAAGGTCACCCGTTGCCATAACTACCAGATTAACTACAAGATTCTTTATGAATGTACTAAGTGCAAGAACAGGTAAGTCCCGTCTCTTCTGAGATTTTCCAATTATGACTTTATTGTGGCCTCCAGTTGGCTGTATAGTAATTTCAGTGAACAAGGAAAATGGCCCCCCTGCCTCGACCCTTTCTCCGTTCTCTTCTCTCATTTGAGTTGGCTTGTCCATTGTTGCTGCTGCATGCCTCTAATCCTTGAGAAACCATAGAACATCCTTGCTTTGTGTCCAAGACTAACATCTGAGAGCTAATCTGGAGGCACAGTGACTGATTGCTTTGTTGTATGGTGTCTCTTTCTTCACCAGGGTTGGCCGCTACACCAGATCACTGAACACCAGTCTGTTTGCCTGTGCCAAATGCAGAGGAAAGCTTGTCCTGCTGCCGTTAACCCAGAAAGATGGAACCCCCATCCGGCCCCATGTGAGGCCATTTGCCAAATACGTGAAGGAGAATTATGGAATTATTTCTAAGTCAAAAGAAGGGATTACCCATGGGGAAATAATGAAAAGGCTCAGCAAGGATTATGTTGCTAAGAAACAAAAAGGAAATATTTAAGGTCATCTAAAAAAGTGTGTTTTTGTAACTTGAATTCTTTATTGATAAAATTTGTAGAAAAAAGGTCTGCTTCTGTGAAATTGTGCATTTAAATACATTAAAGATATTCATGTTGTGATGAGTGTTTATAACCAGCGGTGCATTGCTGGTCAGTTTGTACGCTTCGTGGGGATCTGAGGCCCTGTGGATTCGCTTGGGCCTCACTTTAACTGTGTTGCCTTAAACACGTGTAACAAAATGCAAAAGAAAAATAAGATTTTGAGATTGGTAGATCGAGAGTGAAATAGTCTGGGAAGAGAACAGCTTTGAAAGGCAGAGCACTTCAAAATCATGCTGCTGTCGGATGTAATCTTAAAACCTTCTTATGTGTAAAAGACAAACTGTTTACTGTTTCATTGCTGATGATAATACATAAAGTTGCTTGAATTATGTAATTGTTCATGAAATAAAGTTTAATGTTTTTGTTTTGTTTTTCTCTGAATCTCACATAGTGGCTCAATCTGTTCTTTGAACCCTTGCGCCTAGAGTGGAAAAACTCAGATCTTTTGTCCAAGACTCTGAGTATTAGAAGCCCTCCAGGATGTGTCTAGGAGAATACTCCCCATTTTGTGTTTCTCTGACTTTGGTGGCTGCCCACATCTACCTTAGCCACCTCCTTGCTTCTGGAAGATAGCAGAACTGGAGTCAGCATTCAGTTTGTTTCCTAAGGCTGCCACAACAAAGGAGCACAAACTGTGGATTAACACAATGCACATGTATTATCTGTTCTGGAGGCCAGAAGTCCGGTATGAGTTCTACTCAAATCAAGGTGCTAACATGGCTGCATTTCTTTTTGGAGGCTCTAGGGAGAGAATTTATTTCTTTGTCTTTTCCAGATTCTAGAGGCCATCACATTCCTTGGTTCATGGCTCCTGCTTCCCTTCCGTACCAGTGACATCTCTGCCTGACTTACTCTTTCTATCTCCCTCTTCTACTCCTGAGGACCTTTGTGAGCCCACCTAGATAATCTAAGAGACTCTCCTTATTTTAATTTGCTTATTAACAACCTTAATTCCTCTTTGCCATGTAAGACAACAGATTTACAAGTTCTAGGGATTACAGTGTAAACATCGTAGGGAGGGCTGGTATTTTTGGATGTACCATAAGAATCTTTCCTGGTCTAACATCACTGACAGCTTTTATAGGCAGGAGGTGTTTTATTTTGCCTAAGTTTAGAAAGTTCTAGCAGCCACAGACTCCTAACCGTGAGGTTGGATAGAATTGGATGTGTGAAGAGAACAGAAAAGGCTTCTCTAGCCAAATGCCCAGATTCTCCTCTTTGTCCCCATGCCAAGAGTAGGCTCACCAGGGACCCAGCTGGCCCATGAAACTAGACCTTGGCACATCTGGCACATCATTAGGGGGAACTGAAAGTGCAGTAGATCCAACCATCACCCTTTGCTTAACTCAGTTATCTTGACACTTGTCCCTCTTAGAAGCCCTATTACCTCCATCAAATCCACCCTACCAGTAGCTATGAGAGAGTGTTTGCTATAGTGTACCTGCAGAGGGTTATGTGCCAGTGGCTGGGCAAGTCATCTGACTTTGTTGATGTTCTTGCAGCCCATTTCCCTATTAAGTGCCTGAATCATTTCCCAACTGAATAATCAATACAGCTTTCTGATTATTTTCTGTGGTCCCATCACCTGATAGCAAGGTACCTGTCAGTCTTATTCTTCTTTTCACCCCCCAAACCCTTAACTCTAGCTAGTTGGAACTACTGCTAATTCCTCCAGTAAGAATTTTTGTTTTGAGAATTTCTTTGTGTGTATTTGCTGCTGCCTTCTGCGTGGAAAACTACCTTTTCATTCCCTCTATTCTTGGAAACACCACTTTCCCTTTGAGTCTTAAGAAAGCCTGCGGTATTTTGAGCCCTGGCTTCACTACATATGAGTCCTCTGCTTTGTGTTGCTTACTGCTTGGTATTGCTTGCTCTCACCACATCCTCCATGCTGGCCTGAACTTTCAGAACCCAGTGACTGTCTTGTGTCTGATGGTCCCTTCCCCATATTAGATTCAGGCAGTGTCCAGGCAGCTAACTGCTTAACTGCCCACCTTGTATCTGTGGACTTGGGTGGTGCTCTGAGAATAATAGGAGTGTCCAGTAGAGCAGAGAGATATTACCAAGGGCAGAATGGGCTGCCACAGGCCCAGGGCCAGGTAGGGAGAAGCAGGAAATGCATCTTTGAGTCAGTGATCCACTACTAACACACCCTGGTCCTGATCATCTTGTTTATTGATTTTAGACATGAAAGTAAGCAAATTCAGAGGGCTTGGAGAACACACCTGAGCTAGAGGCCTAGGCTAATTTTCCAGAGCCAGGAAGGGTGGCTCCTTGAGATACTGGGTGATTTTGCGATTGCCAATGAGTTCCAGGAACAAGGTTGTTGGAGGGATCCAGGGCAGGCTTAGCAGAGGGAGAAATGTGTGTGTGTGAGAAGGCAGACATGTTGTCAGGTTGTGTGGGTAAAAGAGGAGGCCAATTCCAGCTTCACAAACCTGAGAAGGAGGCCTCTGTGGTCTCAGACCAGGATGAGTCTTTGCGGGAAGAATATGGCTGCTGTCGTTGGAGCACTCTCTGGCCAAAGCAGCCCAGACGCACCAACAGTGTCCACATCCACTCACGGAACTTGATGCCCATGAAAGCATAGAGCAGAGGGTTGAGGCAACAGTGCATGAAGCCCAGACCTGAAGTGACTGACTTGGCCACATCCACACGGCTTTCTTGGCCACAGTTGCGGGCCAAGGTACCCAGGTCCATGAGGATATCCACCAACACCACCAGGTGGTAGGGAGTCCAGCAGAGGGCAAAGGCCACCACTACGACCACCACCAGCCGCATGGCCCTCAGGCGCCTCTGGCTCCTGGAGAGCAGCAGCACTGCCAGGATGCGGGCATAGCAATAGGCCATAACCAGCAGAGGCAGCAGGAAGCCAGCCACTAGCTGCAGTAGGCGCAGAGCTGTGTGACCTGCCTGCAAGAAGCTGTACTGGCAATGGGTGGCGTTAAGCCTCTCGTCGTGGTGAGCTGACAGGAAGATGAAGTCCGGTAGGGCAAAGAGCAGGCAGAGGCCCCACACAACTACACAGGTAAGGACCACGCGTGCCCGGGGGCCCCGGCGGTAGAGCTGGGTTGCATGCACTATGCTCAGGTAGCGGTCAAAGCTGATGCAGGCCAGCAGGAGGGCCCCTGCATAGAAGTTGATGTTGAAGAGGGCACCTGCCAATTTGCAGAGGCAGGAGCCAAAGATCCACTGGTCGGCAGCATCCACTGCCCAGAGCGGGAGGGTCAGCACCAGTAAGGTGTCAGCCACGGCCAGGTGGAGTAGGAAGGTGTCGGTGCTGCTCAGGGCTGCCCGCTGGCTCAGCAGCACAGCTGCCACAGCACCATTGCCCAGCAGACCCAGCAGAAAAAGGAGACTGTAGAGGGCTGGCAGGAAGGCCTTGTCGAAGTTCAAGCTGAAGTCCTGCAAGCAGGGTGGGGAGGTGCAGCAGGTGCCATTCTCATTATCTGGATAGTCGTAGGAACAACTACTGTTTTCCAGGAGGATGGCAAAATCTGAGGCATCCAGTACCTGGCGTCCGCTCACCTGCCGAGGAAGAGATGGAGGGAGAGCCCCTTTGAGGTCTGGCGGACACTTCTTTCTCATGTAATTAGCTGCTGAGCAGTGCCCCCTGCCCCCAGGTCTGGGGAGACCCTGCACCGGCCCCACCTTTTCTTCAGGATACACCTGAACTCCAGCTACCTTCCTAGCTACCGGGATAGTGACTGCCGTTCTCAGAGGCTGCTTTTCTCACCCTTTTGGGCCATCCTGTGGGTGCTGGGGGTGCAGGTGATGGGCCAGAGAAAAGGCCTCCCACTAGTGTCCAGAGCTCTCCTGCCGCTCTCTCCTTTCTCCTTTCACGGCCACGCCTAGTTCAGGCACCTTTCTTAGCAGTCGCCTGCTGCTCCATGCTGTCTCCTACTTATGGCTCTGTTTTTCTCTCCTCAGCTCATCTGAGGTCCCCAGCTTCCTGCCCACCGCAGGGCCTTTGTGTAAGTCAGTATAGCCACCCCTCTCCCAGCCCTGCTTTCTGTCTGTTTCCTCCCCTCCCCTGTATACAGGTTTGTGCACCTATTTATTTAGCTGTCCACTGGGTCTCCCCCTACCCCAAACTCGAGGAGCAATCTTTTGTCCCCTCACAGCTGCCCTCAAACGACCCCAGAACTGCAAGGTTTCCTAGGGCCAACTCAGTTCAGTAGACAGGACTCAAAGTCCAAGTCAGGGCTGGAGGGAGCCTTAGAGGTCCCCGTAGTTAAGCCACCATCCTCTGCAGCTTTCAGCTGAGGCACTGGAGTCAGACAGGGGAAGAGACTCACCCATGGTCTGACCAAGCTGAGTTCCCAATTCCCTATTTAGTGCTTCCACCGTAACCCCGACACCTCCACCTACCTGCTCACCCCAGCCCTCCACTGACTGAGCAGTGGGCCAACTCCGGAATAGCCTACTACCCTTGGCCGTCTAGCAGAGGCTGTAGCCTAGCCTGGCTGGGCAGCAGTACTTACCTCAGAGACCATGTTACCTGCTGCTCGGGCTGCTGGGCTGTGTGCTGCTTGCTTCTCTGCTTTGCTGCTTGTAGTTGGGAACCTGTGCTGCACAGAGGAAGTGAGGGTTTCACACGGTTTTCGTAGCAGCTTCTTCCAGGAGGTTATACCTACTCCAGACTTCCTCAGCACCCACACCAAATAGTTACTATCTCACCCATTTCAGGGAACCAAGCAAACACTCCTGGGACCAGAAAGGCCATGTCCTTGGGCAGAACACAGGATGGTGGGTGGGGGCAGGTCTTTGGAGGGCAGAGATCTGAAAGAGAAGCTGCCACAGCTGTGAGGGAAAGGCTGCCTTGGTGCCAGGGACAAGAACTGCTTCTCCAGTACTGCTGTGATCGGTGCCCGGAAAATGGGAACTTGTGCTTCCTCTGTGTGGGGCTGGAGTTGCTCTTGGCTTGTTCGCAAAGACTGTATCGTGTAATGGATTGCGTCTATAGCGAATACTGTTTTTCTTCCCCAATTAAAATAGTTAAAAGAAATTCAGCACGTGAAGTCCAGTTCTTTGTCATCACCCACCGTGCAAATCGACAAAGGAAAGGGAAAAGAGCTAGTGTGATGGTGCTACTTGCTGTACACTACATGTTACTTTACGTGTCATCTGCCTGCTTCCAACCACACAAATCCTTTGTGGGTTGTCTTCGTGGGTGACTAAGAAATGAGAGAAGCCTCACCAGCTGCAGCAAGTAACAGTGGGTGCCAGGATTGATTTTGTGGCCGTCTGGTTCTTGTTTTACCACTTATTATGCTACCTATGATTTCTTTGAAATACAGTGACATTATCACGTAGTTAAAAATAAACAAACGGCAGCTACATGTTTGACCACGGATGCATCTAGAAAACTCAATGGCCACATGGTAGAAGAGACAGATTACACAATACTGTGGTGAGGTTGACATCACCTAGGGAAATTCTAAACACCACCAAACAGCAATACCCTATTGTCTTGGATATGGATGTTTGTCTTAAACATTTAAAACAGAGACTTGAAGACACCACAAGATCATTGAGAGCAGGTGCTTTTGGGGTTAGAAAGGAGGAATATATAGGGGCCTCCTGACTGATGGTTCTGGTCCATACTATCAGTCACTGTACGGCACAAAGTAGCAGAAATAGTTTTCTTTCTCATTTTGGTGAAAGTAGATAGTTTTGGAAGTATCTTGTGTTATAAGAAGTTGATAATCCAGCACGTGTTTGTAAAATATAGGAGGGTATTTCAAAAGGTTTGTGGAAAATGGAATTAAAAGGTCAGTTGTTTTTGGTGCAAAAAAAATGAATTATATGCATAGCCTTTACATAATATGCGTTTTCCATGAACTTTTTGAAGATCCCTCTGTTGCAGTGTTACTGGCCCATGTGATGTATAAAAGAATGGTCTCAGGAATCCTGGTCTCCTTCTTGATTCTCTGCGTCTTTGTTACATGGGGATAATGAACTCCCACCTTCTCAGGCTGCTGGAAAGCATAGCTGAGGAGAGGTTTGGGCAAGAGCTTTGTGAAGATGAAACGTTCCAGCATCTTGATATCAGGGCTGGCTCCTGATAGACCACCTGCGGCTGTGGGAATGGACAGCTCATGCTACACACAGGTGACCTTTGTACCATGATAAACAGGGAAGAACTTCTCTGGGCTGTACTCTGTTGAAGCTATGTCACAGTTCGAGCCACCAGGAACCTGTCATATCAAGGGAGTCCGCGAGAGAGTGATGTGTGTTAGTGTGAACTTGGCCAGAGGGCTGCTCCTTCCAGAAAGGCCACCTCTTACCCTGTTGTGTAATTCTGGGCAGATCATTTGATCTCTCTGTTTTCTCATCTGATAGGGTTGCCCTGTGGACTGCAAAAGATATGTATCGAATGTGTCTAGCACAGGTGAAAACCAGTGCCTGGTGAATACCAGTCTCTGCCCCCTGCAGAGAATCTCTAAATCAATCCCTCCCAAGTCCTACAGTGGTAGATCTGTGGCTGGCTTCCTTTGTCCTTCAAAACTAAACAGTCTTAGATGAGTTCTGTGTCATGGGGCTGAGCCAAGTCCTTATCCAGTCCTTCAATTTGGTCTTTTCTAGTCCCAAGAATCTTCCAGACCACATTAGGGCCAGACCCAACCCTTGGGGAGAGCCACCTAGCCAAAAGTTTACCATTGCCTTCTAACTCATGTGCCCTGTGCCCTGGCCCTCCAGAACATCCAGTGGGGAAGCCCAAGGAGGAAGTTAGTCAGAGCGAAGCTGCTCGGGGCCCAGCCTGTGGTCAAGGTGTGAAATGTGCACCTGGCTTTTTTCAGCTGCCCCTCCCCATGTTATTTTTCATTCTTTCACACCTCTGGGCTGTGGTCTAGGGAGATGGGAGGCTCAGAGTTCTGAGCCCTGAGCCAGGTTCCTCACAGGAAGGAGGGCCCCTACAGCTGTCTGTCGGACCAGCTGGCTGGGAACAGGGGCAATTTCTCCCTCTTCCTTTTCCCTCCCAGTTCCTTCACGGCCTCTCTCACAGGTCTTTTAAGTGTGTCTCAGAGCCCTGTTCCCAAAGCTTCTGCACTCAGCTGCCAGCTCCTGGCTGTCAGAGGAGCAGGCTCAGTCAAGCCAGAACTTTCCTCTGAGGCTCAGGCTGGCATTGAGCCTGTATTACCCGGAGTTAGGAAGTCACAGCCGCACACAGGGGAACACATTTGTCAGACCGTGCTGGGACTCCTGGCTTCCTTTTGCTGGCTCTGAACTCTCCATGGGAAGGAGAGTTTAAATCACAGGGAATCTCAGGCACTGGGGATTATCTCCTTCTACTGCCTGATGTCCAGATTTCCTGAAGTTTCAAGTCCTGCTAGGAGGCAAGTGCTTTCTAAGTGCTGGGGCCATGATTGGGGCCTCAGAAATCTTGGGTGGAGACACGCAGTCCTGGCCCATGAGAATTCCGGGAAGCTATTGGTGGTGTTCTCTTTTTGGGAACTAGGTGCGATCCAAAAGGAGGTGAAGGTAGAGGTGGGTCTTTCAGCATGTTGCTGATGTTTTTTTTCAGGCAGCAAAAGGAGACAAAGGAATTCAGAGCCTAGGAACACCAGCTGCTGAAACCAGGAAGTAGGCAAGAGTTTGTTACTGCAGGTGCAGTCAGTCTGGGTGGAACAGAAAGAGAGGGAGAGGTGGCTGGAGAGTAATTCTGGACCCAAGACCCATCACCAAGCACAATTACGTTCCTGCCAGTCTGTCCCCAGCATTATCTGGAAACAGTTAAATAGAAATGGCTTCTATTCTGCAAGCCCTTCCCGCCATACACATGATCTCATAATCTTTTTCACCTCCCTAATGAGGCAGAGGTTTACAATACCCATTTTACAAAAGGGAGATGGAAGTTCAGAGAAGTAAAGTGAATTGTGCAAGGTTACCCAAGAGGATTTGTCAGAAGATTCCAATCAAAGCTGCTTTCTGGGCCAGGCCAAGGTCAGGAGCCTAAGACTTTGGGTCTTTCACGCTAGTGGCAGGGGCCCAAGCACTTGGGCAGTTACCTTCTGCCTTCACAGGTGCATCAGCAGAAAGGAAGTTGGGTTAGAAGCAGAGCAGCTGGGACTCAAACAGGTGTTTCACCAATATATGCTGCCAGTCTTGTACTATACTTGATCTTAGCCAAAAGGCTGAGAAGCGATGCTGCCAGTCTTGTGACAGTTTAATCTGATGCACCACAACGCTGGCCTCACAGGTTGCTTTTTTTTTTTTCTTTCCTTCCTAAAAATTTATCTATTTATTTGAAAGTTACAAAGAGAGAAGGAGAGACAGAGATCTTTCAACCATTGAATCACTCTCCAAATGGTCAGAATGGCTGGGGCTGGGCCAGGCCAAAGCCAAAAGCCAGAAACTTCTGGGTATCCCATATGGGTGGAAGCTTCTCAAATACTTGGATCATCTTCCATTGTTTTTCCAGGTGCATTAGCAAAGAGCTGGATCAAGAAACGGAGCAGCCAGGGCTTGAACATGTGTCCATATGCAATGAGAATGTTGCCAGCTGTGGCTTAGCTTGAAGCACCACAACAGCATCACCCAAGCTAAAATTTTAAAATAACTTTTAGAAAAAAACCAGGCTGGTATGGTGTAGTGAGTCAAATGGCCACTTGTAACACCAGCATATCATACCAAAGTTTTGCTTTGTGTCCTGGATGCTCTGTTTTAGATCCAGCTTTCCATTAATGATCATAGGGAAGGCAGCACATTATGGTCCAGGTGGTTGGACTCTTGCCAACCACATGGGAGGTCAGTATGCTTCTCTGGCTTTAACCCACTCCAGATCTGGCTGTTGAGGCCAATTGGAGAG